GTGCAAGCTCTGCACTAGCCCTTTGAGGGGCTGCCTGTGTTTCTCACTGTTCTGTGACTGAGAATGAGAGGTTATCATCTTGCATGAATCTTGCAGTGCTTCCAGAGAGAAAATCGCAGAGTGGCTACAGCTGACTGGTTCTGCACGTTTTGGAAGTGCTTGTGAGCTGTATGTTTTTGCCCTCTGTAATCTTTCCCTGAGATAATCCAGGCTGCCTGCATTGTGCTTTAGGGACAGGCTAGCATATATGTGGTAAACTGTTGGAAGCAGATTTGAAAAAAAATACGTCAGTGATGGTGGGAAACTGGCTGGGAGTCTACTGGGCATGTCAGGTGAAATATTTACACAGCTATGAGATAACCTGAAGGGAAACAGTATGTACTTTCTGTGTGTGCGTGAATATGTCTGTATGTGTTTGGGTGCACACAGAGCTGAGGTCCGTTTGTCAGATTCCCAGGTTTATTCTGCTGCTTCTGGCAAAAAAACAGTGATGATTTAATAGCTTGTCAACACCTATGCACAGAAACAAAGGTTGGTACTTCCCGATTTCTTATTTTCTTTGCTTTAAATAGGAATTCCTATTCTGATTAACATGAAACCTGGAAATTGAGCTGTCAGACTGGGCAGCTCCTTGCATTCGGCACCGAGTTCCTGCATGTGATCAGCTTGAATGCAATCCAGGCACTGCTTTCCTGCTATACAAACCCGGAGCTCTGCTGGCCTTTCGAAGGAAGCTGTGTCGAGTTCATGGCCTGGGACAGAGCATTGCTGAAGCACATTGCCATGAAGTAGCTAAGGTTGTTTTACTCTCGGTGTACTTCTCTCCCCGTCAGCCAGGTTTAGCGTGTCCTTTCAGTGATGAGAGGCCAAATTCCACACAGTTATATTCGGCACGTTGCTACTCTTGCAGCATTGGGAAGTTTGGGGACGTTTTTTGCACAAGTCCGGGTCCTGGAATTAAGTTACTGTGAGAGAAAGTCAATATTCAGGAGTGGGAAACTTGGAGGGGCTTGGGGTGGTTCCTTTTTTATTCATGATTTTGTGGAGAGGAGCTTGAAAACAAGACAACTGTGGTCTTGAGATCTGGAAAGCATTTGACTGAGCAGCAGTAAAATAGTGTTTAAATACTCTTACAGTATCTGGAAGGACCAGCACATCATTTCTGTGAATGTCCAGTGCTGGCAGTGCAGTGGGTCGTAGTCCAACTGCAGCAGCATCCGATTGACACCAGTGAGTTGTTGGTACTAAAATCAGGGAGAAAATTTAGACTTTTATATGATAACTAATTTTTTTTGCTATTGGCGTAGTACCTCTTGTCAGATCTGGCATTATTCACAAGAAAATGCCCTTCCCCTTTAAAAACATTACTGCTTGTGCCCTTTTGTTTTATTTCTCCTCTTTGCCTGTTCTTTTCTCTGTTTCTCACCCTTTTTTCTGGCCTCTACGCCTGCTTGTTTCTTCCTTCACCGCTTCTTTCTCTGCAGTCTTTCCACATTGCTATCTCTTGAACCATTGCTCCCACCCTCTTTCAGACCATCAAGGCAATCAGCAGTCATGCAGCTACGTTGAGCATTGCTCCTTTCTTTGGGACGCCCCACTGAGGGGAGCGAAGACGTTTGCAGTCCCAGGTATGCATCGCTCTAGTTTAAACTTCAGGTCCCTCGGGTCTGTTCAGGGCTTTAGAATTGCGCATCAGACACTTCTGATTCTCTAGTCTGCTGTTTCAGCATGCGTGAGTTTTGAAAGGGAGAGGTTGTGAGTTTCCAGGTGAGCTGCTGATGCGGGCAGGGATTTTTAGCTTTCCTTTTCAGTCTTGGCTCTCAGCCCTGTTTTTTCATGTCTGAAAATCAACATTTTTTCAGCAGTGAAAATTAATGTATTTTCCCCTGCTACAATTAAATGGTCAAGCAAGAAGTACAGGCACCTGGTTTTGTCACTGCAGAAGTGTGAGCTTTCCTGCTTGTAACATCCTCCTTGTTCTGCCAGAGGAAGAAATAAAATGACTCTTTCCTGGAGGGCTGAAAACCACCTCTAGAATCCTCTCCAGGCTGCAAGGGAGTGGACTCAAGGTGCTTGTACCTCTTTTGCAGTAGCTTCAGAAATATTAAGGCTGAAGCCTCCCGCCTCAAAGAGAGTCAAAGTTAATGGTTTGGTTTGGTGGATTTTCTAGTCTGAGTCCCTGTGGCTGATCAAAACAAGTGAAATCCCAGGTGCTGCTTGTTGTTTTCTCCGTTGATGCGTGGCCAAGAGGATTACATTTGTTGGAGCTTTCTCAGAGACAAGCAGCACCTCTAGCTGCAACTATCAGAGGTGGTCCTGTTCTCAGGTGCCTGCCTGTCCCATGGGTAGAGCTTCTTGCCACCATAGCAAGGCAGCAGAAGTGGGCAGGAGCTCCTGCTTTTGTGTCTGTGCCCTGCAGGCTTGTGTCTCGACCTGATTCTCGGTGCACTTGAGCTTGTGCTAACACCTTGGTCGATGACCTGGGTGTTGGACATGTGTTTTCTCCTGGCACATGAACAATAATTTCAGGCAGAGAGACAGGAACATGTTAAGCAGCTGCAACTGTTTACTTCAGAGCATGTGCATCAAAGCCCTGGGATAAGTCACTTCAAGATTGCCCAGATTTGCCCTGCTGCTTTGTGGTGAATGGTGTAAAACCCAGACAGCTTCCCAAGCTCTTCTGCATGACTGCACCCTTTAATCCATGCTGGGTAGCTCAGCACATGTAGGTGTTCTACAGGATATTAGTTATTTGATGCCAAAAGCTTCTTGATTGCAATAAACCACATCAGTGTAAAAGCTATATAGCCCAAGGTACTTTTCTCCCTTTAATATAGACTTTGGAAGCTTGAAACTATATTTATGTTCAGTTTAACTTGATGCCACTGAAATCACAGGGTCAGGAAATGCAACATTATGCCTTCCTCAGAATTAACTATGCCTCGGGATTGCCCAGGTTGGATGTATTAGACTGATGGCACAAAGTCTACCATGCCAACGCTTGTGTAACCAGCAGCTTGTGCAGCTGAGACCAGTGACTGTTAGATCTGGAACTTCTGCATTTTTAACGTGCTGTTTCACGAAAGCTGCAGTCAAGATTTCATGTGTATTTCCTTGTTTCCTTCAAATAAGACAGCTTATTTGGTTTGTAGAGTCTGTGAGCTTTGCCAGCAGAGCCTGTATGCTCTTGGAGTAGCTGTCGCCTGCACACACTACGTGGGCAAACTCACACCAGACCAGGGCTCTAGCTCCCAGTGAGGACGTCCCCAAATACATGTTGGCTCCTTCTGCTGTAGCCATTTTCAGTCTTTTTAAGTTGAAAAAATGTTCAGTGTTCTTCTCTGATGTCACTATTTCAGCAAGGGTTTCCCAAAGCGATTTATGGGCAGAGATGAAGAAAGGAAAATGTTTGGCTGTTTTAGGAAGAAACAGCCTGCTTGAAAAATATGTCCGTCCCTGGACTGCCTGTGGAGAAGCTTGGAAGAGGGAAAGTTAGTCTGCTAATTAGCTAAGTGTGCGCTCTCATGCTGTGTGATACAACTGGGTAAGCCTCCCCTTCAGACTGGCCCTGGGTCTGTCTCTGATTTGAATAGTCCCTGTAATTCTTTAATCAGCTAAGAGCAATCAAAATGTAATGCAGCTTCCTGCTGCCTCACATAGATTTGGGAGACAGACGGAATCTCATTCTTATAGTGTTGAAAGCATAGATCAAATTAATGACTCACTAGAAAGGAGAGAGAGATTGCACATTTTTTTTAATCAGCTGGCTAGGTTTACATGACCAAACATTGTGCAAAGGAACCTGTGCATCTGTCAAAAGTCTGCCTTTTACTCCTTTTTCACCAGGGTGTCGGGTTGTCCCACAAAAAAGTCTGGCAGGCAGAGGGGCAGGCAGCAAGTTTCCTGCCCTGACCTGGCTGCCTTGCCCATTCTGCATGAAGAGCTCATCTACTTAGAGAGCACCTTCTTAACACTATCTTTCACAGCCTGGTAAAGCCAGCATGATTTCAGGGTCACTTTAAAATGCTGGATTGTAATCTGTAGCGTTCAGGAGCTGTTTCATTTTCCTTGGCAGTACTGGCATAGCATGAGATCCACGTGGAGAGGCTTTCATTGCCTCTGCTAGTGCAGGGATGTCAGTGTTGTGTTGCCAGATCTGCCACCTTCAACGTCACCTTTGAAGAAAACCCCAGTCCTGTGCATCACTGAATCACTTGAGGGACTACAGTGCCTTGAGTTTTCCTTTCTTTGATAAAATGACATTAAAATTGGGCTAGCTCTCCAAGGGATGGAATTACTGAATGGGATACATAGGATACTCTTTTACATCTAAAGTGTGGGGCAACAGATCTGAGTGCAACTTTACAGCTGAATTTTGAAGCCAGGTGTGTCCGCTTCTTTGCTCAGTGCTGCGTGCTTATGAAATCAGACTGCTGGCAGTAATTTATGGGATTCTACATGATCGTGGGAAGGTGCTGTGAATCTTCTTGTTCAGACTTAGCCACACAATTCCAGCACTCAGCCAGGAGAGACATGTTGTTAATGTTGAAGTGTACTGATTTTACATCTTCCAGGTGTTGGAAGTTACAGTCATACCAACACAGCACTTGAACTATGCAAGGTGGGGTGGAGAACCGAAAAGAAGGATATCTGATAGGCAGCATTTGAATTATGTTCATAAAAAGACCAGGTTTGCAGGTAACCTTGTGTAAAAAAGGTATCAGTGGCTTTCCCAGCTAAGGCGGGGGACAGACATGTTGTTGCTCAACGGCTGCAGCACTGAGCTCTGCTTCCTAGGAACTTGAATCGTTAGCAGTTGCTAACTTCAAGTAGGGAGAGGCACGGCAGAAGCACGTCTTTGATGTAGTTGAACTATATGTCCTCCTCAGAAGGAGAAAATATGTTTTACCTTTTTTACAAACAGGTGCCTGTGAGGAGCCGTCCTCCAGCCTCAGCTAGCCAGAGGCCTCTCTTTTGACTCTCTTCTCCTCTTCATGCAGTTTTTCACAGAGTACGGTCCTGATTACGTGCTGGAGATCACACCAAGCTGCAGACCAGACCGCAATGAGCCACAGAGAATTCAAGAAATCCTCAACTCCATCAAAGGTGAGTTGTCCACCCCAAGCCAGCCCTCCTGGTTCAGAGGAAGGCTGATGGCTTCCTGGTCCTTTCAGAGAGGACTTTAGAAAAGCTCGTTGGAGACTTTCTTGCTGCCTGGAAAGCTGAACCCCGTTTGCTTGACCACTCATACCGTGTCATCTGTCTCCTGCTTAACTTGGGATTCTAAGTGCTGTGGGTCTGTAGTAGCAAAAGCTGCCGTTGCCTTTCCTCCATTAGGGCAGTCTGTGGGCAGGGAAGGAACGTGGGGCCTGGTGCTTATCAACTTCTCAGTGTTTAATAAAAATGCCAGCAGACACAAGTGTGTTTACTAAAGCCAGAAGGATACGTACCTCACCATAGCAAGGTAGGCTGAATAAGTATATCTGTGTATGCATTGTGAAGGTGTCTGTTAATCTACGTTTCTAACAGAAACAAAACTGCTGATTTGGGGAAAAAGCAGGGAACAGATTTACATATCCTTTTCCTGGTATCTTTACCCAGCTTCTAGGATTCAGTGGTTTCGGGGCTTCCTAAGCCAGAGATTGATGTCAGATGCAAGTTGGAGATCCACCAAGGAACCGGTCCTCCATTAATTCCTCTCTTCCTTTTCCAGACTCATTTATACTTTGGGTGCTCACACATTGTGAGTGCGGGCGGTGATTGGACTATACAAAAGTACTTTCATTTGTGTAAAACCTGGTGCTGGGTAATTTCACTGGGTGTCATCTTGTTCTTGTATAATGAGAGATAGCAAGTAGTTCCTGTTCACCTTCCTAATGCCAATCTGTGATTTCCTAGACCCATGCCACACTTCCACCACCATCTCTTTTCCAAGCTGAAGAGTCTCAGTCTGTTCCATCTCTATAAGCAGCACATCTTCATCTTGGATTAACTGGGCCCAGCAGCAGTTAGATAAACCCTCAGAGCTTGCTGCAGTTCCCAAAGGAGCAGGACTGTCCCATGATCCTAACTGAAACAGTTTGGGCCATATCTATTCCTTTCTTTCCCCAGGGGTATAAGAAAACCTTGTTGTTAAGGTTTAGCACTTGCTATCCAAGTCCTAAAGGATGTTGCTGTTTAGAGGAAGTGTGGAAAGTAGAAAGATGTCCCAGCATCTTGTAGGAGAAAAAGGGGAGTTTCTATTTCATTATTTTTTAAGTGTGAAAGTTCTTAGCTTGTAACAGCATTACACCAAGTACCATGAACCTTCTCAGGCCAAGCTGGAAATGTGTAAGCTCCATGTGTCATGTGGTTACTGAGACTTTCACATCCACTGACTTTAAGAAAGGAAACAAAGAACAAAGGGGCTAAAAGTCAGTTGAAGTTGACTAGATTTTTACAGAGGATCTATTTTCACCATGTCACCCAGAGTTTGCAAGAGGTGGTGGAACAGGCTGGCACAGTGCCAGTATCCAGTGAACAAGTATTTGTACAAAGCACTGGGGACGCGACTGCGCTGTACTTTGAGAAGAGGCTCAGAACCCAGTGTCTCAGGAGGGCTGCGAGCGTTCCGTGAGAAAGGGGCTTCCGAAAAGTTGAAAAGATATTGCTGCCAGCTCAGGAGATCATCGTCCTGGGGACAACCACTGGCCTAGAATTCCATTGTATTGGGGACAAAGAGAAACCCTCTGTTCTGTCACTACACAGCACTCAAAATTAGGAATGTCTTGGTGTTCTGGGATCTCCCAGTTTGTGGCTCGTGGTTAGTGCTTTGGAATTAAGACTCCTCAGGGACAGCCTTGGGGAAGCAAGAGGACTTCGAGCTGCTCTGGCAGTTCCGTTCATCCCTTATGCCAGCAGCAGCTCACGAAGCCTGTCGAGGAAGGTAGGGGGTTACAGAAGAGATGGCAGGTAAGAACAAGCAGGTACCTGAAAGCCCCCACCCTCTGCCTGGCCACCTGAGAAGGCTTTTGGAAAAGCAACAGGCAATGAGTGGGGCTCAGATCAAATGGACTGTTCTGGCGAGTCTGGTCTGTCCTGTATGCCACGCTTTGTACTGCACAGGATGAGTCCTTGGGAATGGACCAGTTTAATAGGAGCCACATGCCCAAACTATTTTAAGACCTTGTCTCACAAACAACCTAAATTAAAGCCAGTTTTTATTGAAATCTTCCCAGCACAGGAACTGCTGCCCACAGTATGTCTGGTAGTGACTTGGGTTATGCTTCTGTTGGCTTGTTTAGAAGATTTTTTTTTTTTAAAGTTAAACAAGGTTTGTAAAGAAATGGCGTCACTGCAAATAAACAGCTGCAATGCAAGATGAACCACTTGCTGAGAGTGATTGCAGGTGTCATCAGTCTCAGACACAGATGCCCACCCAGGGAGTTCCTACAGAGCGGGGCAGCTAGTCACATCCAAACAGAAAAAGCCATGTGTGTGCACGTAGAGCAGGTTTCCGCCTGGTTGCAGGGGAGCTACTGTGCCAATTACCCCGCAAGGAAGAGAGAAATCTCTTAGTGCACTGCCTGGAGCTAGGAGTTAAAGTTTAGATGCAGGAGGACCTTGGGGCTGCACAGTGCTGAATGAAAAGCAGATGCTTTGCCGGAGAAGTGTTCCAGCTGCTTCTTGTGCGTGTTTTTCATTCCTTCTAGTACCACAGTTGGCCTGAGTTCAGGAGAGGAGAGTTCAGCATATTTAGCCCCTCCCCTGCACCCTATCTGGCTTTCTGAGAGAAGCTCTTCTCTGTTCCCCAGCCTAGTTTTGTCTTCCAGATGCACTTCCCAGTTGCAGACCGTCATGTTACCGCAGCGTGGTGGTGGTACTCACTTGTCAGCTGAACTGCAGTAACTGTGTGCATGTTCCTCACCTTTTTCAAGCCTGACGTAGAACGTTTTACCTTCCTCTACCTCCTTAGTTTAAATCATCACTTATTTTCTTCAGAAAGTCCAAATTCTGCATGTTAATGCCATACGCTCACATCCTCCTTTTACATACACATTCAGTTGGAGCTTCTCAGACAGTACTTCTGTCCACATCACAGTGAACCCCGCGAAACAAAAATATCCCTGGCGCACTGTCAACCACGGCATGCATCTTTTCTCCAAGGCAGTGCTTTGCCGTGGAGCAAAGTTCCCATCCTTTGATGCCAAGAGAGCACTGGTGCTCTTAATTGGGCCGAAGCAAGTCAAGAAGCAGCCATGTCTTCTCGTGTCTTAAGACAGAAGAATAAAAGGCAGATGGTTAGACTCCATGCTTGCTGAAGTGGGCTTGTAACAAGGAACACTACCAATCTCATCTGGCTCAGGTTCAGACAAATGTGCACTGTCCCCAAGCCTGTGTGAGGCGCTGCTGCCTAGGGAGGAATCCCATATCTTCAGGACTGGTTTTTACTTGATAGATGACATTGATGTGGATCTGTTGAAATATTTCTTTGGGTCTGTCCAGTGCACCCTGTGATCACAACCGCTCTGCACTGATAACCTGCGCTCTTTGTTATTTACAATTCCCTCAACCCTTTTGTTTACCACAAATGATGATTTTGGCTTCCTCCTGGTCTTGTCGCAAAAGATCGATCCTTCCTCCTTACTGTCATCTGCCGAACTGCTAATTGGAGCAGGAGATGCTCGTTTATAAGCCCTGTTCCCTACTGCTTGGCCTGTGGGCTGTTAAGGGAATTGCCGTTTAACTCGAACCCCTCTCCCCTGCTGTCTGATCTCAGAAGAGCTACTTATCAGTCTGTCTCAAAAGCAGGAAGATGTAGAGGCTGATGAAGACATGAGAGATATAACTTGTCTAGAACCAAGATTCTTGGAAATCGTGTCCTCCCTCCTCCACGTCCCTTCTTCAGCATCAGACCTGGCAAAAGGACCAGGGCCCCTAATCATTGGAAACAGGGACGGGAGAGGGAGCAGGACACTTGAGGGTAGGCTGCGCCTAGATGGTACTTCTCTGCATCCTCAGCGAACACCCCCAACGCAGCTCACAGCTGGTTCCCCTGGGAAATAAGTGTATTCTTGAAAGTGCACTGCAAGGGCTGGATCCGATGGGATATGTGTTTTTTGCCCAGGAAGGAGGCTTCAGCGTTTGTAGAAAGAAATGGATTTAGCGGCTGTGGATTTGTAGGGAAGGGAAGCAGTCAGGTGAATCCCCAACCTCTGTCTTCCCTGCTTGCACCTTTTTGAGGAGCCATATGTGTGCTTAGCCGGAGCAAGTGTGTTCTGGGCCCCATCCTGTCTGTCCCGCTGGAGAGGGCTCCTCCTTCCCCATCACCTTCCGACTGTGTGAGTGTCTGTGGAGATCCCCTCTGGCTTAGGGCTCCCATGACCGAAGGCTGCCTTCTGTCTCCTCAGTGCTAAAATCACAGGGATGTGGTCAACCTGTCTAGACAGCAACCTGGTCCCTGTAATATTGCTGGTTCTTTAGAAATCCTTTTCAGTAGGGCTTCTTCCCCCTCATGCCCTGTTCTTTTTGGCCATGGGTGCACAGCGTGTTTCAGAACAGCCCAGAGGGCTGGCTGCAAACCCAGCCCTTCACAAACTGTCGTTTTCACAGTCACGGTGGTGCCGCAGCCCCCGCTGTACGTACGGCAGCAAAGCAGCTCAGAGCGGATTGTGTGTATTGGGGATCTTCCCCCACAAGTCTCAGCCCTGTGCTAGGTGCGGGCAGCCATGGCTGGCACCCCACATCTAACACCCTGCCCTGTTAACAGAGATCAATCAAGAAGGCACGAAGAGGTTTGAGATGCCTTTGGCCTCTGCACAGCTCCCATTCAGTCTGATGTCAGAGGAGTCCTCTCTGGAAACAAAGTTTCTGTCCAGTCTTTTGAAAGCCCTGCAGCCCGCGTGCAGGAATGAGCCGTGTGCCTGCCAGTTGGCCCAGCGTGGTCGCGGTGCTCAGAGGCTGGCTGGCTGAAACACATGCAGGGCAAGCGGCGGTGATCAGATGTGCCTGACAAGCTTGACTGGCTGCCCAAAGAGCAGAACACAAAACAGATCCTCGGCAGTGCCAAAACCACACAATAAGTGGGAGCAGAGGCCTATCCCCCAAAACCATCAAGCCAGGGAAATGTGGGGCTGTAACAGAGACCAAAGTATCCCACTCCCCAGGCCTTGTTTGTTTTTCTTTCCTCTCTCCTTTCATTATAGCTTGCGATTGAATTATTTAATGAATATAAATCGGCTGGTGAGGACCCCAGTGAGGCAGAGGAAGCTTAGCAGAGCCAAACTGGTTGTCTGCTTGGGAAGGGGTCTGAGACTCTGAGCCTTGGTCCACACAAGGGATTGGCAAAGAGAGGCCCTCATCGGTGCTTGACTAATCCTATTTCAGGGGCCCTGTGTGCCCCAGACCTTGCTGTGTTTTCCTCTGTGGTGGCTGGCCCCTGGAAACCTTCCTAGCAAAGCTAAATCTCTTGGATGGTCTCGGCCTGTTGGTTGGGATCCAAAGGCTTCCCAGCTGGTGTTGCACACGGCTGAAACAGAGCAGGAGGCTGTGGGTAGTAAAGTCTGCGATTCCCTCCATCTTGCCACCCGATGAGAGCAAAACCCACAACTGTGGCAGAGAGGAGAGCAGAGAAAACCCCTTTCCTTGCTCCCCCACCACCAGGAAGAGGCTATCTCAAGAGGGTCCTGTTGCCCTGCTGTGCTGCTGGTTGTGTTTCAGGAGCCTGGGCTGCTGCTGAGGCAGGCGAGACAGCTCTCCTCCATCCCCAAGCTCTCTTCTTCAGCTCCGTCGCCTGCAAAAATGGCCTTGCAGCTGCGCAGAGCACCAGATCAGGGGGCTGACCTGGTGGAGAGCTTAGTGCCTTCAAAGACTGTTTTGCCCCTGCAGTGGGTTGCTTTTCCACTGCACTTGCAGCGATGGTACCAGAGGCAGCAGGAGCGAGTGGGGCAAGGAAGAACCAGCCCCCCTCAGCACTGAAGCACTGACGAGTGAAGGTGGCCGCATCAGCAAGGCAGAACCAGAGCCCTTGCCCAGTGATGCAGTGAGACAGTGGCAGGGGGATGTGGCATTGCCACTACTCGGAGGCTCCTGGGCAGGCTGCTGGCCAGGCTAACAGGAGCAGAGCCGTGGCTCCTGCCCTCTCCAAAACTGTTGTTAATTCTCAGTGTTGCTTTGCTGCCTGCTTGGCTTTCTGTCCCAACCGGCTCCAGCAGTCACCACCCCAACTGCTGTGCAGAGAGCAGTTAATATGAGCACGGTGCATTCAGTCCCCTGGCATGCAGTAAAAGCCTTTATGATCTGCTTGGGATGTAAAACAGCATGCCTAAAGGGAAATTGTTAATGGTGAGGCAGTGGGGGGAGGATGGAGACTGCCAGCCCAAGCCTGCAGGCTTTCTTTAGCAAGGTTAGCTATTCCATAGTTGAAGGTAACTGCCAGCTGCTTTGCCCGGGGTTCCTCAAAGCCCCAGCTACTCCCCATTTCAAGCCTAAAGAGAGATCCTGGGCTGCAGTTGGCAGAAGCGTAAGTAGTGTTCCTGGGGCCAGCTCCCACTGCACTGGTGTCTCTCCATCCGCCCTTGGGGCAGAGCCAGAGATGTCTTGCTCTCCTCAGAGCTGCGTGCAGGGCTGGGGCTTGCCTGGAGGCAAAGGGAGATGGTTTCCAGGACATGCTAGCCCACAGCTAGAGGGTGGCTGAAAGTTGTGAGAGAGCAGCTCCAGCCATTGCTTCAGCTCCTCCATGAATGAGCAAGATACCAGAGCAGTGTTTGTACGGGCATTTAAGCCCCTGCCCTGTCCCCCTACCCCCAGTGCTATCAGGCACAATGGGGTTTTGGCACCAGGTCAGCTTTTAAAAAAAAAAAAAAGCTCTTGTTCTCTCTGTCCTTTTATCTAACCCTACTGCCTCTGCCTGGTAGGGGGCAGAGGGGACAGAGGCATCTCCTGCTGCGTGAAAGTCGCTGTTAAGTGTTAGCCTGGCAATGCCAGCGGACTGTGGACTGCAGCAGTGATGGGGCCTGATGCTTCTTAGAGGGGAGGCACTGTCCACCCCTCAGCGGGATTCTCTGGTCCCTGTGTCAGGTGTGCTGGAGGGAACAAGGCTTAAAAAAAAAAAAAAAAAGGAAAGAAAGAAAGAAAAGAAAGCTAAAACTTCTGTAGATGTCATCAGGAGTTGGGACTGTCCTCTAGCCCTGCTGGAGACAGCAAGCCTGAAAGCTGTTGGAGCCCAGGGACAGTAGCTGTGTGAGCCCTACAAGTTCTTGCCAGCTTTCTGCGGTGCCCTTTCCCCGTCTGTCTTCTCCTGCCCAGGAGGAGCCAGGGGCAGGAACTCAGGGCTCTGCAGCAATTTTCACTCTAGGTGCGTGCTGTGATGTGTCGGTGTTGGAAACTGGGTAGGAGGAGGTGGGTTGGGAGATGCCATGGCTCTGGGTGCACAGGGACATTTGTTCTCAAGCACAGGCCAGGCCCAGGGAGGATGCGTCTCCCCTGCGGATAGGCAGCTCCGTTGTGTCCGGTAGGGAAGGAGGAAGGGCAGAGCTGTCCATCCTCTCTGCAGACTGTCAGAAACCTTGGAGAGAAGGGTTAGAGCTTTGGGCTCAACTTGTTCTTGTGTGCAAAGGCGCAGTTCTGGGAAGAGATGGAAACACACTGCTATCGTTGGGAGGTACCTGGCTGTGTCTCTGTGTAGTCCTGGGCAGGACGTCTGAGCATTGCCAGCTCTCTGTGTCCCTTCAGGGCTGTGCCTTCCAACACTGACCAGCCTTGGTGACATGGAGCTAGTGTGATCTGCCACTGTCTGCCTTGCGTGCAAGGCTCAGATCCGTCCCTTGTGTGTATCCAAATTGAAGGCCTCTCCCAATCCTACACAGGGGGGTGATGTTCCCAGGGAGGATCGATAGGATATGCACGGGTATATCTCACTTATCCTCCATGCCTTGCTCCAGCATCATTTCTAAGCTGGAAGGGTTGGATCTGGTTTGTGCACTCCTGCTAGCATATCTATCCCAGGCGAGGTGGATAAGGCAGCAGGAAATGAGTGTTCCCATCCGGTGCTGACCAATAACTTCCAAACCAGTGATTAGTCTGCAGGAAAAACTCTTAATGGAAACGATGGTGGAGTCTCCCTTTGGCAGATCCCCAAATATAGCTTGAAAGAGGGTGACAGCCTCTGCAAAGGGAGCAAGAGGTTGGCTGGCCAGCCTGGAATTGGGTCTCTGTGGAGGTCGGGTTTCCTGTATCGCTTCCCAGTTTGTCGGGCCTGCTGGTAGAGGGGAAGGAGGCAGTGCCCCCCCTCATAGAGGTAGCAGCAGCGTTCAGGGCTGCGGGAATACACACCCTCCTGGGGTACCCATGGGGAGGGATAGGGGGAGGTACCAGGAAAAGAAACCCACTGCAAGGAGGGCTCTGTAGCCAGCAAAAACCTCACCTACCCCGGGCCTAGCTACTCCATCAAGTTAAAGTTAGTTTCAGTGGAAATATCTTTTCTGCCGCTTTTTGTTTGCAGGGAATCTGAAGCATGTTGTTTAGCGGAAAAGGAAGGCTCAAGCACCCACAAGAGTGTTTCCCACGTTGAAGACGGCAAGTTTATGTGAGCGGATGGTGGAATGTGTGGCTGCAGGGGAAATCTGGCAGAAATATTCTTGGTTGGTCGGTCAGTTGATTTGTTTCTCTTTAAAAAAGAAAAGTTGCCGAAGCGTCACGAGCGCCACGGCCCTCCCTGGGCAGGAGCGCATGGGCCTCGCGGCTCCAGCTTTCCCATGCTGACAGAGCCTCCCTTGCTCCCTTCTCTTGTCCTTTTTTAACAACACAAGAGTTGATTCTCTGCTGGTTCTCAGCTGGTTTTAATGGTTTTTAAGAGAGGGGCTGCTCAGAGCTGCGAACCTTCCGCAATTGGGCACCGGCACCAGCACCAGCTTTTACCATGTTGCCTTCCTGGCAGGACCACGGCCTTCACGTGCAGCCTCTGAGATGCCCGCCCAGACAGAGGTGCTGAGGGCCAGCCAGGGCCCAGGACACTGGCTGTGCCTGTTACCCACAGAAAAATCACAGCCATTAGGTTTTTAAACGGTTGGGCATTTTTATAAATAAAGTACTTAAAATACTCCTGCCCTTTCTTTTCTTCCTGTGTCCACTCTGCCTTCCAGGGAGCCAATGCTCTCTTGCACAGCACCTAGCAGGAGGCATTCGGTCAAGATCTCACAATCTCTCTGGAAATGGGGTGCATGTGGGGAAGCAGGGGAGAGCTAGAGGAGCCCTTTCTAGTGTTTTCTTCCCTGCAGTCCTGTTAAAGCACCCTGGCCAGCTTGGTTAATTGGCTGTGAGCTCCCTGCTCTGGCAGCACCTGGAGGTGGGAACGCTTGCCCCGCTCTGTGGCAGGCTGTGGTCTGCTTCCTCAGACTACAGCGACAGCCCGAGGAACGCAAGCTGTTCACACCCCGCCTTGGATGATGCTGGCTCGTACTACCAGGTACGAGTGTCCAAATTGTGTCCGTGCCAGGCTCTAAGCTCCCCTCCTCCCCCAGCCTGGTCCAGCTTGTCTTGTAGCCTCACACCAGTTGCAGGCCTCTCATGGAGCTGTGCCTGTGGGATATTAGATAAAAGCTGAGCTGGTAGCAACCCAGGCAACAGTTTTTTTCTGTTGTTCTAAGTCAGGAAATTTCCCATTCTCCACTGGGCGGTTACTTTATCATCACCAGGAGCTGGAGTAAGGGTCCCCCAGTATCATCTGTCCTTGCAGCAGCCCCTGGTTGCATGTAAGCTCACAGTGCTGAAACCACTCCGGAGCCAAGCTCATCTCGGGGGGGGTGGTAGCACCCCGCACTGGCCTCTGACTGGGGTTGCCATGATGAGCCCAGCAAGGTACCCCTGGCTGCAGACCCTCAAATCAGGAGATCTGCACTTGGATTTGTGACCGTCCCTTCCAGCTCCACCAACGTAAAGCAGCACAGACCGTTCGTGGTGACAGGTGAGCTCCCAAAATCCTGTGCAGAGGGCCAGACCTGAGGGATGCTGTCTAGGGTGTCAGGAAAAGAGATGCAGGACAGGGTGGCAGTTCCTGTCCTGGGAGATCTCGCATATGACAAAGGCTTAGGGGAAGCGTTTGACCCTCTGGATGCCCCAGTCCCCCTTGACCGCTGTTAGAGCCTCCACACAAGGCGCAAGTGGGCTGGTATTGGGGCAGATTCCTCCTTGTGCCTGGCCCAGCACCCTGCCAATGGGGCAGGCCAGGGACCAAGGCCTCTGCTGGCCTTGCCCCCTCATTCATCTGGTCTGCAGAGCTTTTATTTGTATCGTTTCTTTTTAAAGATGTCCAGTTGGTGTGGGAAAGCAAATTTCCTGTTGCTTTAATTAGATTGTGCGAGAATAAATAGCAAGACGAAGGGACTCCCAGCCTGGCCTGGCTTTGTTTTGATCTCTTGTTTTTCACTTCTGATGCAAACAACAGGAAATCCAGCATGGATGAAGTTCAGCTGGATGTGGCTCCCACGTCCCTGCGGACTGACCGGTGACCCCCTGCTTCTTTCTTTCTCCCTGCAGGATGCTGACTCTGGGACTGAGCTGGCCTGTCAGTGCTGGGGGTGGCCCATCTCTCCTCTGGGAGATTTGATCCTATCGTAGAGACAAAAACGGATCTGAGTTAAAGCAAGGCCCTTCATAGCCCAGTTTCCCCCTCACTGCTTAGCAGATGGTGCTCAGGGCAGGGCAGTGGCTTGAGGAAGCCCCTGTGCATGGGGTTATATAGGCAGAGCAGTGCTGTGACGGAGGGCCAGGCCACCCCTAGGTCTCCCTACTGAGGACCCAGGCTCTTGCAAGGCCTAGATGTGAACTCGGAGGTGGCTAGGTTTCTGGGGGCCACCCACCAGGGTGGAGAGGCTCAGGCTGTGCCCTGCATCCTCATCATACCTCATTTCTTCCTGTGTGGGACAAACACGGCCCAGACCTAGGCACCAGCCTCCCAGGCCTGCTGCTGTGGCACAGAAGGGTGTGGGTGAAGGAGATTCACGGGCCATCCCTCCTCTGCCCCACGCTCATGGGTCGTGGCTGCTCTGATGGCCTCCTGACTTTGAGCCTGGCACGACGCGCCGTGGTGTTTGGAGCCTGTGCTTTCAGGTAGGGGGAGGCTCTGACCCGTTTGTGCAGACCCACAGACCCTAGGGGTCTTGCCCCAAACCTTCCCACGTGCAAACCGACTGAAGCAATTGTGCTGTCTGCCTGAGTCTGCTGGCAGTCCAGGAGGACAGCTCAGGGTGGGAGAGCTCCCTGTCCCTCTGCTGTCTCCCCCAAAACTCAAAAGCTCAGCCAGGCATAGCTTTCACTGCCTGCAGTAACGGGGAAGGGAAGACTCGGGACCCAGGACATGGGGCTGTGTACGCAGGTTGGTGGCAGGAGGGTCATATTGCCATTAGCTCGGCTTGCCTTGCTAACGGCTCTCCACACCCAGAGATGTCAGCCCTGGGAATCATTTAGACAAGACAAAGTGGCATACGGAAGGGCAGGTAAGCTGTCCTGCTGCCCCTTCTGGACTCGTCTCTGAGCCCTGTGCGTTCTGCTCCTGGGTCAGGCACAAAATTGCTCTGAGAGCTGCAGGAGCTGCTTCAGACCCGGCAAAGCAGGGTCTCCAACCCCAAGGAAAGAGACTGGTTGAGGTGGGCACGCTTGCGAGTCCTGGAGGGAGCAGCCAGCCCGCTGCAGTATGTGCTCAGCTCCTGGGGAGTGGACAGGTCAGTCCTGAAGGACTGAGGAAGCGCATACCCCTTTCCCAGGGATGCCCTGAGCCACCTCCAAAGCATGAGTGGAGCAGCACAGCCCCCAGCCAAGCGTGCCCGTGTCCCAGGATAGGAGTAGGGATGGCGGGAGCAGAGCTGAGCCTGGCCACTATCTTCATAGCCATTTTCCATGGGAAAATCCTTCTCTCCTTCCCCAGCCACAAGCACACTGTTTCCTCCCGCTAGCCCAGTACCAGGGCACAGCTGGGTGCCAGAGGTGCAACCTGGCCATAGGGGTGAGGTGCTCCTGCCCCACAGCCCCAGGCAGCCCCTACGCTCCAGCCGGGACAGGGAGCCCTGTGTGGCTCTTGCTTTTGTCCGGCCTCTCCTTTCCCAGCTCCTCCCTGAGAAAAAAAAGGGCCAAGACTCAAACCCACCAAAAACTGGAAAAACAAACAAACAAGCAGGAAACCCCCTAATGTCAAACAGATGGGGCTTTAAATAGCATTGGGCGAGGGACTGCAGGGAGAGCTGCGCTCAGGGGGGCTGGACAGAGCTGCATGTGGAGATATGGCACCCAAATATGACCAGGTCACCTGCCTGCAGACAGCTAGGGAAACGGAGGCACAGGGCAGAGCAACCCCTCTGTGTCCACGTCCCTGAGTGCCGAGGGGCATTTGGGGCTCAGCTTGGTGGAGAGAAGCGCAAAGGGTGAGACAAAGGCTGGGGAGGGGGGTAGCCCAATCCCCCCACCTCCCCACCCTCATTGTCCCCCTCCAGCTGGCTGGTCAAGGCTCACGTCACCCTCCCCAGCCCTGGCACCAAGTGCCTCCCATTTCTACCCCTAGCCTGAACGGGGGAGCGTGGGGAGGTCTCAGCCCAGGGCAGGGAGGAAACGCAGGGGTCCCAGATGGGGAGGGGGATCGAGGAGGGACCCCGGCTGGATGGAGGACACAGGGGCTGGGGGGCACGCAGGAGACAAGGGGTGTCGCAACCTGGATGGGGGGGGGCACGTGGG